TGGTGGGTGGGAGGATGGATGGGTGGGTGGGTGAGTGGGTGGATGGATTGGGAGATGGATGGTGGGTGGATGGATGGTGGATGGTGGACAGGTGGTGGATTGGTAGATGACTGGTGAGGGTAGACCATGCCTCCGTGTCCACTGACAGCGCACACCCCTGCTCTACAGCATAAGGCGCCCCACGATCTCCACTTTGACTGTGGACATAGCCAACAGGGAGATTTCGTGTGTGGACATGAAGCCACAGGTAGGCCCTGACCCTTTGCCTCCGCCTCCCTGTGTGAGCATGTGCCCGGGCCATGCTCTCTGTCAGCTGCAGCCCTCCCTCCCTGACCTGCCTGTCCCTCTCTGTCCTCTGCAGTCGATGCTCATTTCTGTGGGTTGTGATCTGGAAAAGAAGATCGTTGTGCAGAAGTAAGTGTGTCAATACGCGGGTGGGGTGGCACACAGCTGGGTGGCCGCAAGGGACAGCTGCTCAAGTGGGTGTCGTGTGTGTTCGGCCATTTCCTGTTCGTCTCACATTCCCACAGTAAAATGTCAAATCATCCGCTGGCAGAGCGCTGCCTAGCATGCCTGGGGCCCGGGTCCACCCCGGTACCAACCCCAAAAAGTCGGTTAAGTAACCACCGTGGACAGGCTGAGCCGGCTTCTGCCGCGTCCCTCCTGCACTGCCTCCTCTTCCTTCTCACCGGCGTGTTCTGTGTCCCCCTTTCAGCCCCCTAATTCCTCGTTTTGATCAGAATTGCGCAGGGTCTTCAGCTTTGATCTCTTGCTAAGAATAATTTAGAAAATTTGCCTTCAGTATCCATGATCGCCCCCCGGAAACAGAGTCATGGGAACCCAAGGAAAACAGCCAAGAAACCGAGCGGGGCTCCTGGCCTCCCTGTCCCTGCAGACACTGCTGTGCTGGTGGGCAGGCCACAGCCGCTCTGGGTGGACACCTGACGCATGGCACCTGCCCATTCCTGTGGTGTAGATGCCCCAAGGTGGCCGCTGATCTCAGGCTCATGAACCCCCAGGGTCAGGTGGCTGTCTCTCGGCGCGCAGGGTAACGACAGGCTCCATGGCAGTTCCCAGGTCTCCCCCCAACATGGAAGGGTCTGCGCAGTTGATGGATTACATACCCTGATCCTTATCTGCAGGAAATGGTTGTAAAACACCACACAGTTTGTTCCAAAAAAGTTGGGCAAAGGCTTGAACCAGCGCTTTCCAAACAAGGAAGGGAAAAGAGACGCCAGTGGCCGTGGAACACACAGACGCTGCTGCGGGGAAGGCGCCCAGCTCGCCCAGCGGGGCAGGCGCGTTAGAGCTTAGCTCTCAGCAGAGCTGGTGGGGGCGCCACGCCCACCACCCAGCTCCGCCAGAGGCTGAGGCAAGAGGATTGAAAATTGGAGGCCAGCCTGGGCAACTTGGTGAGGCCCTGTTTCCAAACAACAAGGCTGAGGTGGAGCTCAGCGGTGGAGACTTCCGGGCTGATCCCAGTTTGACCCTGTAACGCGCACCTGAGGATGGCCAGGCAGCGGGGAGTCCCGTGAGGTTGGGGTCCCATAGCTCCAGGCTCAGAGCCGCTTTTGGGGTGTACGTCTTCCAGCCATTCGCAAGCCCCGAGGACCCAGCGGCCCAGAGTGGTCACGGTGGCTTATTCCTGACAGCCTCCAGGAGGGGCCAGGCCACGTGCCCCAGAGGGGGTGAAGCCCCCCAGCGGGACCTTCTGACACAGCAGAATGTCACAGTGAAGAGAAGGAGCCAGGCCACGTCCCGTGACAGCCACCGACAGGAGGCCAGGCGGGCCACTGCGGCCCTGCCCGTCTGCGCTCCACCTGCACCCGAGGACTTCCTCCTGCCCCCGCAGGGCGCTGCCCGCGCCAAGGCCGGCCTCTGGTGGCTGTGCTGTGCCTTGACCTGAGGAGCTGCAGGGTGGGAGGGCGCTGGGGAAGCGCGGCAGCAGAAGAGCCCGGTGGCAGCAGTGTCTCACTCGTCCCCCGGAGCCACGGCAAGTGCTCTGCCAACGTAGAACCCGCCTAAAGTAAAGCCACCCAGGGCCACCAGGCTCGGGGACGCATGCCTGTGACCCCACCTGGAAGGCGGGAGGAGGCCAGTTCAGGAGGGCGCAGTGGCCAGGCACCCTGGGTCAGTCCCCAGGAGCAAAAGAGAAATGTCAGGGCCACGGTCCTCTGAGGTCAGCTCTGAAAACCTGCTTCCCCAGAGCCCGCGGGGCCTGCACGGGACAGAGCAGGGCGCTGCTGCAGGGGAGGGCGGGCTGCCTGGGGCGCGCGAGGGTCCCAACAGAACCTGGGGACAATCTGTGGGGCAGGCACGGGAGCACTGTGCCCGGGGCGGGAGACGCAGAAATGGGTCACACAGGGACGGGCGGATGGACAGGTAGAGATGTGGGGTTCTGGGGGGAAGGGTGCTGGGAATTGAGCCCAGGGGTGCGCTACCACTGAGCCGCATCCCCAGCCCCAGCCCTTTTCAGTGTTTATTTTGACAAAGGATCTCGCTAAGTCCCTGAGGCTGACCTCAAATTTGAAATCCTCCTGCCTCAGACTCCTGAGCCCCTGGGACTACAGGCATGTGCCATCACACCCGGCCTAGAGGTGGATTCTTGAGACTTTGGGTCACCCAGGCCAACTGACAAACATACGCGCACACACACGCACACACACGCACACACTTTTTCTTTCTAAGTGTGTGACTGCCTCTTGCTCTTGCCTGGTTACTCTGGAAAGACTCGTCCTGCTCTGGTCAGTTTAGAGCACACAGCTACCTTTCCACGGCCACACCCAAGGCCACCCTGCTGTCCATCTTTGCCCGTTGCTGTGGCTATGATAGAACACTTGAGACTCAGTAATTTGCAAAGATAAGAGGTTAGTTTAACTCACTGCGTGAGGCCCTGCTCTGCACCTGGTGTGGCCTCGTGCTGTGCTGTGTCAGGTGGCTTGATCCGAGGCCCCCTGTCCTCACCGTGACTCACCCCTCCCAGAAGCCACACTGGTCATCAGCTCTTCAGCCAGGGCAGGTCCCTGGTGACCCCAAGGCCATACTGTGGCCCCCTGACGCTCCACCTTCACTGGAGGTTCGGTGGGGACAAAGCCCACCCCAACGCAGCAGTACCCAGCCTGCCCCGCTGGGCCGCCTGAGCTGGCCACAGGCTGGTGGTGCACCTGCTGGCCCGGGGAGTGCAGACCCCAGAATCGTACCCAGGACGGAGGCCTGTGGCCGAGGCCCTCGCCCTCCGGGATCCAGTGCTGTGCTGTCCTCTCCTTGGGCGTCTCCGACTGCCCCCGCCCATGGCGGCCTCTCGCTCTGCTCTCCTCTTCCGCCAGCCAGCCTGGACGGATGGAGACCAGCTCTCCAAGGCAGACGGCCAGGTGTGCGGCTGAGGCCTTGGGGCCAGGGAGGCCGTAAAGGCAAGAAACCCCCAGGAGAGGGTGGAAATCAACACTCTGGCCCAGAAGCCCGTCACAGGGGCTGGTGAGGGATTGGGTGGGGAGCAGAGGACCCCCGCAGCAGGGCCAGATGTACTCATCCAGACTGTTCCGCAGCACGTCACTGTCACTCCTGATGTCCTGCATACCTCTGTTCTCCTTAGGGGCCGCGTAGCAGCTCCATCCACTGAACCCCCTTCCCTGACACTCCATCTGGGACGTCTTTCCTACTTGAGGCTGCAGAGCTAGGCCTCACCTTTTTATCAGCTGCATGGTGTTCCTGCATGTGGCCAGTAAGCTGTCCCTGTCTTTAGGGACACCTGAGGCTGCACGTGAAGCTACAGAACCCCCAGCCTTGTGTGCCCATCTTCACGTACCACCAGGGCGTGGGCTCTTCAAGATGAACTTTGCGGAGACTTGCTGGGTCCAGGCTTCTGTCTCAAAAAGCTGTGTCAGGGCTGGGCTGGGGCTCGGTGGCAGAGCGCTCGACTGGCACCTGTGAGGCACTGGGTCCGATCCTCAGCAGCACGTGAAAAGGTGTTGTGTCAACTACAGCTGAAACATATTAAGAAAGTAAGGCTGGACCAAAAGCACTTGAGTAGACATTTCTCCAAGGAAGACAGACGGGGCCAGCGAGCCCGAGTGCTCCGCGCCACTCGGGAGGAAGGGGCAGGTCACACCCACGAGGAGCGGCCACCTCGCACCCAGCAAGACGCTGCTGGGCTTGCCTGGTGCACGAGAGGCGCTGGGAGGACGAGGCGGGTCGGACCCTGCGCACCGTGGGCATGAGGGGACAACGGGAAGCCACTGTGGGAGCTGGCGGCCCTCGGAGAAGGGAAGCACAGGATCCGCACACCCCGGGGCCGACCCATTGCTGGGAGCAAACCCGGAAGAACCATGTCCTCAGCAGCAGGATCCACGAGAGCCGAGGCGTGGGGCACCGTGGGTCACTCCTGCTCTCACGTGGGCGCACCCCAGGGACACTGTGCTCAGAGACGCAGCCCCAGACGCAGCAGGACGCGCGGCAGCCTCACCCCCAGGAGCTGGTGTGGCAGGGGCCGAGCTTCAGTGTGGGGAGATGGAATGTTCTGGAGAGGGCGGTGGGGACGGCCGCCCAGCCCTGTGTCTGCCCCAGGACCCTGGACTGTGCACTGGAGTCTGATCAAGACGGTAGCTCCCGTTACATGTGGGGCGGCCACATCCTGAGTGACTTGCTTTTTTTTTGGTGCCAGGGATTGGACTCAGGGACACTCAGCCGCGGAGCCCCATCCCCAGCCCTATTTCGTACTTTATTTAGAGGCAGGGTCTCACTGAGTTGTTAGGGCCTCGCTGTAGCTGAGGCTGCCTTTGAACTCATGATCCTCCTTCCTCAGCCTCCTGAACCGCTGGGATGACAGGTGTGGCCACCGCGCCCGGCCTCTAGGTGACATTTTTATGTCTTTATTTTTTGTCGATGTAGAGGACAGCGTGCCTTTATTTTATTTGTTTTTCTGCGGTGCCCAGGATGGAACCCAGAGCCTCCCACGTGCTAGGCAAGCGCTCTGCCACTGAGCGCCAGCCCAGCTGCACCCTCTAGGTGGCGAACCGTCCCCTGGCCAGGT